CAGTACAGAGTAAAAGGTTTTAAAATAAAATGCTACACCAAACTCTTCAAGAAGTTAGGAGCATTCAGTTTTCCATAATAAAGCACAGTGATCAGCTCGTTTTGCTATAATTTATTTTAAATGTTGTCCAGAATAAATCTAAATTATTTTTAAATACAATAATAAAAAGCTGCAATCATTCATTTTTACAAAAAAAGAAAAGCTGTTAAATAAAATACTCTTTTAATAAACATAAGAGCACAGTACAGCCCTGTGTGTTAGATAAGGTCCTGCAGGCTGGACGCAGCTGAGAAAACTCATTAAACCCACTGCTGTCACTGAATGACTGTCTCAGAGTCACAGTGTCGAACTGTCTGTGTCTTTAAGTTCCACGCTGCTGTGGGGAAGCTTCACTTCTCTCAGCCATCAGAGTTCATTTTGTTCACGCTTCTGTGTCTTTGAAGCTAATTGTGCATAAATTAATACAACTAACACAAAACACAATCTCTTATGGACAAAACACAGGATGAAAGTGAGGTTTCTGAGCCACGTCTTTGAATTAGTTGAAAAGTCCATTTCATTTTATGCCTTTTAACTCTCAGCTTACAGTCCAAATAACACTGCGGTTTACAGTTAATTTCATAACACACATATTCAAACATTAAGGACGTCTAACAGGACAAACAGCCTTGGATGTTAAAGGGAAACTTACAGTGTTTCTGTTTGTCGTGGAACAGCAAATAAAGGCTATGGATAAATAAAGCATAAATACACTGCAAAAATGATCTTGTCAAGTAAAGCTGTCTTAAATATAGTTGATAAATGTGATCAATTGTTGTAAGCTTATTATAAGATTGTCTGGCTTATTTCTAAACATTTTATTGCTTGTTTTAGGTACTTCTATTCAGTAAAATGATCTCACTATACTGGCAGATCATTTTGATTGTTGTAAGAATTGAGCTTGAAAGAAGCAGAATTATCTGGCAGTATAATGAGATAATTTTACTTACAAAATGAATGAATTTACATACAAGTAAATATCTATTAAATGTCTAGAATGAGGTAAATAATCTTATAATAAGTGCGCGGCCATCTCAAAATGGGAAATATTAGATATTTCCCCAGATTTAAGATCATTTCACTTGACAAGATAATGTTTTTTTGCAGTGTATAAAATACAGACATTCTCCATCTGTCTGAAGAACGATTTCATGATGCAAAGAAGCATTCGTGGATCTTTGTAGAACATTTCCTTTCTAAAGAACACTTAAAGAACCATCTTTTTTAGGAGTGTACTGCATCAGCATCTGCCCATTGACTTCCATTATAAGAACATTTGGGCTCAATAGTTTTTCCCTTCAGGGGAACCGACTGAAATTATTGTCTGTGGTACTTAATACTACAATCTAATTTAACAGACAGAGGTTAGGTTGAAAAATACTGAATTAGTCCTTTAATCAGCTCCATAATCAAGTATCATAAAACTGAATTCTAAACAGGCTGTTTTTGCAGCTTAGTCTTCATATGTGGACTGTATTAACTGGGGAGTGAACGGCACATTTGAAACAGTGTTTACCAACTACATCAAAGTCTTTAATGAAAAAAGTCAGGAAAACTCAGTTTTCCCTGATATCGGCCCTTACAGTAGAAGTCAATGGGCAGTTCAGCATCTGCTCATCAATGTCTATTATAAGTGCTTGGAGTTGACAGTTTTCCACTCTTATTGAAGAAACATGTTAAAATTATTGTTTGTGCTAATCGTCTGTATGTTACAGGCGCAGTAAACAGAGGTCCTATTGATCATTCCAGAGTATTCCTTTAACTTTAACAGCTCAGTTACCCAGTATTCCCAAATAGCCCCAGTAGCAAGAAAGAGAAATAATACTAAAGCAAAAAAAAGCTTAAACTCGTAGTTCTTTGAACCACTCGTCATGTAAACTGCTGCTGTGAGTTTGCTCAGACGTTCTCAACTCCACTTGGCTAATTAAGCTCATTCTGCAGAAACGTCCACTCAGTAAAGTGTTTCCATTGACAGCCGCTCTCTGCCATCAATACAGGCAATCAGGCAGAGAGTGACGCTGAATTGACCAACTGACCATCTCCTTTCCCGGTTAAATCTCAGTGAGGCAGGTTCTGAATCACTCTGCCTTTCACACTGTAGATCTCTATGGAGAAACAGCTTCTGTAATGCAGTCGTCTGTAATCGGACCTTTTGGCTGATGCTGTATTTTTGCTGAATACAGACAGATTCGTCTGATAAAGTCTTAGTCTGCAGAAATGAAGGTGATATCTTATATAACCTGGACCTGTGGAAGATTGTTTCTTATAGGACGTCACCTTTTCTGTCAAAAATATTGACTTAGTATTTTGAAACAGTGACTTATTTACTTAACATATTGGCTTATTGTGTAAAAATAGAGTCATATTAATGACTTACTTTGTTGACATTTAGTAAGTCAATATTTTAAGAAAACAAGTCATTATTCTGACATAGTAATATTTCTAAAAAAATAAATTATTTGATCAAATAAAATGTTAAGTTAATATGTCAAGAAAATGAGTCATTATGTCAGTATTTTGAGAAAAGTTAAAATTACAAGAAAATAGGTAATTATTTCAACAATCAATATTTCAAGCAAAGTCATTATTTTGAGATATTGTCTTTATTAACAGAAAAAAAGTTTTTTGAAATTTAAACAGTTACTTCAAAATAGTAAGTCAATATTTCAAGACAATAAGTCATTATTTTGACATACTAAGTAATAAGTCTGGACAAGAAGAAATTATTTGGATAAAAGAAGTCATTATTGAGAGACAATAAGTCAATATTTTAAGAAAAGTCATGAGTTTGAGATGTCATTATTAAGAGAAAATAAGTTTTTTGAAATTTAAAAAGTCATTATTTAAACATAGTAAGTCAATATTTCAAGACAATATGTCATTATTTCAACATACTAAGTAATCAGTCTGGACAATATGATATTATTTAGAGAAAAGTTAACATTTCAAGAAAAATCATGACTTTGAGATAAGTGAGATAAGTTTAATGAAATTTAATGTAATTATTTCAAGATATTAAGTTAATATTTCAAGAAAATAAGTCATTATTTTGCATACTAAGTAACATGTATAGACAATAAGAAATGTTTTTTTAGTCTTTATTTTAAGATACTAATTCAATATTTCAGGAAAATAAGTCATTATTTCAACATAGCAAGTCAATATTTTGGGAAAAGTCATTTTTTAGATGTTTTGTCATTATTTAGAGAAAATAAGTCATTATTTCGAGAGGCTAAGTCAATATTTTGACATAAACAGGTGACCTTTTCCTCTCTGCCTGGCATTAATTAGCTTCCATAAAAGAGCTCCACATATTCAATAAAGTAAAAAGCTGCTGCATTAAAACAAAGTAAAACTGCAAAGAGAAATGAAACAGTCAGTGAACAGCACCCTACAGTGACAGTGTGCTCAGACAGTCATAAATCCGGTGATGCTTGTGAGAGCGCAGCGTTTAATATGCATCCAAAAATCAGTTTCATCTCAGCCTTTCTCGCCGGCTGCGTTTCCTCCAAAGGCCAGAAGGGGTCAGTGTAATGCAGCTCCATTTACACTGGTGTCCCTCTGTGCTCTGTTGTCAGTGGCTGTGTGTCTGTAACAGACTCGGTGACACTTATAACTGTATGAAGAGTGAAGAGGACGAGCAGTCGTTTTAAAACCCACGCTGTGTCATCCGCTCAGCACTGATTTTCAGCCCACGTCGCTGTCTGCTGCCCTTCTGCCATATCCGGCTTATCTTCATGTTTGGGTTCAGTGTCTGTGTTTGTATGGTCCATTTATCCACCTACATCACTGTTCCTCTCTTTAAAGCAACAGTAAGGTGGTAAAAATAAAAAAAGTGTGCAGTTTGTGTGGTTTATGCACCAAAAACATCATTTATTTTATCATAATTCATTTCTACATTGTTTTCCTATTAAACCAACTGCTTTTGTTACTGTGCCTTTGAGACTGAACTCCCCCAGGTAAAATGATATATTTTGTTGACTTTCTAAGTTAAAATAAGTGAACACATCCCCTACAGAGAACTTCAACATCGCATTTATCTGCTAATTTTAGTGCACAGATTCTATTTATTCTAGTTTAACACATTAAAAAATTAAATGCAAAGTATAAAGTGTGCCATAACTTTGCAGATAAGCAGTAATTGTGTATTAAAGTGTGCAGGAGTGTGTTCTCTGCAGAGGATGTGTTCACTTCAATCAACAACACACATCACTTGACCAGGGGCACACAAACTTTTGCACACAGCTGTATATGTAAATGAGCTCTATTCTGATTGCCTGCTATCATTTCAAAAGCAGCCTGTTTAACTTCAGCGCGAGTGGGCAGGGCTAAACAGCCGCAGGCTGAATCAGCAGATACATAAAGTGTTGGTTTTTGTGACATCACAAAAACACTGTTTTCAGAACAGGCTGTTTTCACAGCTTGACTGTATGAACTGGGGAGCGAATAGAAGGTTTTGAAACTGACAGTGTTTGAATACTACATCAAACTCAACTAAAGCAAAGAAAATTCAGTTTTGCATGATATGGGCTCTTAAAGTGTTGTCAAATAGACTTGCTTGTCTATAGAAATGGACAAAAGTGGACGGATGTGTTTAGACTGGAGATGTACTTTTGTTCTCTTTCGCCAAACTATCGCTTTAAAATCTCAATCTGATCAGTAATTTTCACAGAAGACCCTGATTAGTTGGATCAGCTGTGTTAGATCTGGGTGGACTTTATACTGTTGCATGCAAAAGTTTTGGCACCCCTGGTCAGCATTACACACTGCTGACTTTCTAAGTGTAAATAAGTGAACACATCCTCCACAGAAACACACTTCTGCACATTCTAACACACAATTACTGGTTATCTGCTGAATTTAACACAAAACAAATGTGGCCTGTGCAAAAGTTTAGGCACATTTATATTTTATGTTTTATTTTTTACATGTTAAATGGCAAATAAATTGAAACTGTGCATTAAAATTAGCAGAAAAATACCATTTTTTCAAAGAACATGTCACTGGACCGGGGGTGTTCAAACTTTTGCACACTTTGTGTGCGTGTTGGTGCTCACTGCATGGCTAAACGCCGTCTCTCAGGGCTTTTTGGCAGCGATGCGCTGTTTCTGTTTGCGCAGGTGAGCCTCGATCTCATGTCTGAAGAGCAACATTCCCAACTGGCCGTGCGACGCCTCGTTCATGGCCTTGGACTGCATGCACATCTTGTACTGGTCCGGAGGGAGCTCGTCTGTGCAGTGCTTCTCGTGCCACAGGTGGAAGAGTCCTCGGGATGGAGCCCGGATCACCAGCAGGTTACTGTGGAGGTACTTCCTGTAAAGATGAACATCCTCTCCACCCCAGCCTTTAATATCCACATCAAAACCACCTGAGAGGAGAAACACAGACAGAGAGTGAGGCCTCTTTACCAGCAGCAAGCAAATGATCTGAATGTGGCGAATAATTCATTCTGGAATGTTAGAACAGATTATGATCAATTATAGTGATATGTATAATAAAAAAAGTATTAATATTAAAAGTATGGTTGAGGAATTCTGAGCCAGAATTCTTTTCCATTTATTTTGATGCTACAAAAAGTAACAAAAAATGATTTGGAATAGGCACTTTCCTCACAACTTCTTCACTTCTGAGGTACAAGCCAGAAATAACTAAAGGGCCCATGGCCTACACCAGTGGTCGCAACCCAAATGCTAAGAAGACCAATTTTGTCCTTTCAACAAAAATCAAACCACTTCGGGAGCCACAACGTTTAATATCCATTTTACCATCTTGGCTGTAAATTTGTCTCAGTATGTGCTAATGTACTAATATAGGCTAAAAAATATAAACGAAAACGCAGACTTACTGTGCTCTGCTTTAAACTTTAGCTCAGCTGTAGACACTTTTCTCGCATCTCCAGCAGGAAACATTTCCACAAAAGTAGAGTAGTTTCTTGTAAAATGTCTCTCAACGGCCGACTTTTTTACGTGGCTTAAGTCAGCTTCTCATTCGCCAGCTTCATGTTCAAATTTTTCTGTTCCACCTTAAAAGGTGCCTGAGGTGCCAGAACATAACTGCTGCCCCATTTAAGGTGGAACGGGAGAATTCAAAAGAGAAGCTGGTGAATGACAAACTGACTTCAGATTCACAAGTTTTTAGTGTTTGACAGTTTCTCATTGTAGATTAAACATATCAGGAAACCAGCTGGAGTGATTAAAATACAAAAAAGTCCATTCATCTTTAAATTATCAGTGTTCGTCGTAAAAATCTTTCTCTTTCCCATTTCATTAGCTACTAGCTAAGTAAGATTGTTGTCTGTGCTGCTATGATGACCAGCAGTCCGTGTGCCAGCCTTCAGGGTTAAAGAGTGAACTAGCAGTTATGCAGAAACTCCAGCGTTTAAGACCATTTAGTGTTAAAACTGTGTTAGAATGATCAGCAGAGCTTTATTTTACTGCAAAGGAGGATCATTTTATTTTTACCTAAATATCTAGTTCTGCTGTGGAACCACAACAGGGCAGTAAAAGAGCCGCATGTGCTCCGGAGCCACATGTTGCCAAGCCCTGGCCTACATTGTCTTGCATTTAAATTTTTCCCACAAGTTGTTGCATTTTTACCCATGAGTTTTATGTAACAACATTTTAAAATTTTACGTTACACGTTTTACATGAAACCTCTCTTTATTCCCTACAATTAAACAAGTTTTTTTGTTACTGTACCTTTAAGACTGACACATGTAAATGAGCTCTGTATTGATCAGCTTCATTCAAAAATCCTACAACAGTTTAGCACCTCCCACTCACACTGAAGCCAGAGGGCAGCCAATCGGAACAGTTGGAAAACTGTAATGTAGAAACAAATGATGACTAAATTAATTATGTCTTTGGCACATAAATCCATGCAAATGTCAAAAAAGTGGAGACAAAAAAGTACAAGAAAAGTCTGATGGGGCCCTTTAATATATAATCACATGCTTTGCTGTCTGTGGCAGTAGCTGTGATGTTGAAGGGTTAAAAGCGTCTCTAGTCTGAATGAGCTCTAATCGCTGATAATACTGAGCTGCAAACACACCAAACGCACTTTCATCAAAACTCAGACGATCGAGTGAAAAGCATATTGACTCAGTGTGATTGATGTTTGCTGCTGGTGTTCTCCTGAGAGCATAACAGGGCCAAAGCAGCCGCTCCGCAGACACAGCACAAATCACTGCATTTCTTCACCTGCAGATGGACCCCGATCGGCTAATGATGCCTTTACTGCTAATTTTCTCCCGCCGTTCAGACAGCACTTAACTGTGATTCTGCGTACATGCCCTGGAACCCATCAAGTGGAATGTGACTCATACAGACTGCCATCATTCCTCCAGTAGGAGCCTGACAGTTTTACTCTGATGAGGCTACAGAGGGCGTAGGGCACAACTGGGACTCAAAACTGGCCCTCAGCAGTGAAGTTCACCTCTGTAGAAACAGCAGTGAGCTACAGATGCTCCAACCATGCATGCAGGACCTGGCAAAAAGGTCATAAGGTCATAATAATAATCCAGTTTTCTCAAGGAGGGATGTGTACCATTATATACACTGAGTTGCCAGTTTAGGTGGTAGGTAGGTGTTTCTAATAAAGCGGCCAGTGAGTGAAAGCACAAGGCAGGTGTTTCTAATATAGTGGCCATTGAGTGGCAGTACAAGGCAAGTATTCCTAATAAAGTGGCAAGTCAGTGGAAGCACAAGGCAAGTGTTTCTAATAAAGTGGCCAGTGAGTGAAAGCACAAGGCAGGAGTTTCTAATAAAGTGGCCATTGAGTGGCAGTACAAGGCAAGTATTCCTAATAATGTGGCCAGTCAGTGGAAGCACAAGGCAAGTGTTTCTAATAAAGTGGCCAGTGAGTGAAAGCACAAGGTAGGTGTTTCTAATAAAGTAGCCAGGAAAGGTAAAGTATGTAAATACCCCAGCAACACTGCTGTGTCTGATATACTTGTACCAGCACCACACACACCACTATATCTGTGTCAGTGCTGTGCTGAGAATGGACCACCATCCAAATAACATCTGGACAACAGCGGCCCTGTGGTCAGAAACTGACCAGTGATGAATGTGGTGGAGGGGGCTGAGGAGTTGTGCAGGGCTATGGTCTGCAATAGTAGAATTATATAGTGGAATTAAGATAGGTGGAGCTAGTAGTGTGTGATGTTAGTGGGTGATACTGGTTTATCTGGTGTACTGGTTGAAATTCCTCCTCAGGTATGAGTTTTATCTTTACCTTTTTACCAGCATGTCAATAATAAGCAAAGACAACACAGCATACAAACAGTACAAAACACACATAGACTGTTTAGCTGTCATCTTTTGAGCCATGTTTTAGATGAAGATGAAAACCAGCAATCCCTCGATCACATCCTGCTGTGTGGTCTGCTGCAGTCTGAGGTACACATACACATCTTGTTAACGTTAGGGTTACAAAGCACTAATGATATAAGATAATATAGATATAGATCCTCCCATCTGGCAGGCGTTACAGGAGCCTCCGCTAGGCTCAAGAAGAGCTTCTTTCCTGAGGCAGTGACCCTGCTGAACTCCACACCACCACTTTCACCACATCTTTGCACTTTACTGTACTTTATGCCCTAGTATTACTGCGCTTTTCATATTTGTACAGTCTATTCCTGCACTATTCATATTTGCACAGTTACTGTGCAAGTTTACTCTGTATACTTATCTTTTTATATATGCTGCCCTCACACTCCATACTACCTACATTTGCATTCTGTCCACTCACTCTGTGTGTATATATATATATATCGCTGCTTTTTTACAATTTCGGACCGTTTCCTTGTTTCCTTTGGTCCTTTCATCATGAAATTAACACACAATCTAAAGGGCAACAGGCATTTTCACATTATGTCAAAAAGTGAAAAGTAGGTATATATACATGTACATACATAATGTTATAATCTTTGATAGGCAGATACTTTCACAGCTACTGTAACCCTGCCGAATCATCCCAAGAACCAGTTGGTCTGGATGGAAATGATTATTTAATTGAGCCATTTGCATACATCTCACAGTCACGATGAAGGCTGAGTGCAATTTGCGTTTCTCCGCTGACGTGCAGTGTATTTACCTATGTTGATGAAATCAGATCTGTACTGGCAGGTCATTCCGAAGCCAAAATCCCGCCAGAAGCCGGTGTCCTTCTTAATGACCTGCAGAGAGAAAATTGAGACACTTTAAAGTCCTCATATTCTGTCTCTCCACTTTCTAATGGTAGATATGCTGGTCTTAAAGGAACAGTTCAGAATTTTTCAGCCTCATCTCTGTTTGCTGCATCTGCATTGTAATGTTGATTACCACAGACAACACACTTAACAAAAGCCTCAGCATCTGCCCATTGAATTTAAAAGTTTGTAGTATTCAAAGGAGAATTCCACCAAAATTTCTGCATAAATAAATGGTTGAGATATAAACAAAGTCATTCAGAGTGGTTTGGTGTAAAATGAGAAATTTACTAAGTCAGGGTGCAGGGTGTTGTGAGGCAAAAAAGGCCCCAAAGAAAAACACTTTTTTTTTTTTTCAGATTTTCCACTATTTTACCATCATCAACATTCCACATAAAAGCTCAGAAGACACATGTAGGTTTACTGGTGGTTTTTGATAGTAAATAAAATGTCTATATTTAAGTTGTAGTCATGGCGACCCCTGGTTCCTATCACCACCACTGTGAAGAAATCAGAGTCTCTACAATCAACCATTTCACACCAAACCACTCTGAATGACTCTGAGTACATCTTAAACACTGAACTAGTAGGGGAATGTTTGAGAAAGAACTTTAAGTTGGCTTGACAAAGCTGTTTCTATGAAATCCCAGATGGTTGCTAGGCTGTTGTTATGTTATCCCAAGTGGTTGCTAAGATGTTGCTAGGCCATTGCTATAAAATCCCAAGTAGTTGCTGAGGTGTCGCTAGGCTTTTCCTGTGCTTTGTTATCCCGGGTGGTTGCTAAGATGTTGTTAGGCCATTGCTAAGCTATCCCAGATGGTTGCTAAGGCGTTGCTAGGCCTTTGCTATGATAACCTTGTATCCTAGGTAGTTGCTAAGGTGTTGCTATGTTATCCCAGATGGTTGTCAAGGTGTTGTTAGGCCTTTGCTACTGTATCCCAGACGGCTGCTAATGTGTTGCTAGGGCATTGCTATGGTATCTCTGTGATTGCTAAAGTGTTGCTTGGCCATTTTTTGTTATCTCAGGGGTCAGTTATTAAAGTGTTGCTAGGTGTTGGTATCCCAGGAGGTGCTAATATGTGTGTTAAAAAGGGGCAGTGTAAGCGGAGGTCCATTTGTGACATCATTTGAGACAGATTAAAACTTTTCAAACATTCTGCCATTTATTTCCTATGGGAAAATAATCATGTCTGAATAAATACTGTATGAAAACTGTAAGTGCGATCAGTCCCAAAAGCACAAGTACACTTTTCCTGAGTAGGCTCTATGATTCTGCAAAGTTTTGTGGTTCTAGTTCAAAGATTCTAACACGTGAAAATGGGACAAAAAAGATCGTGGAATATAAAACGAACAACAGTAATTTTGCTTTGTTAGGCCAACTTAATTATGCAGAAATTTTGAAAAAAATGGTGAAATTCCCCTTTATTCCCTGACTTTGATGCACTTTATCTGTGAGAACATCCTGCTTTATCACAATCAAGCCCCCGGTACTCCTCCAGAATGTAAATGCTGGATATTTGTAATTACTAGATGTATTTAATCACACCCTGGGCTGTAATCAATCACATGTGACATGACTGATCATTCCAGCATGCTGATAAAAAGGTAGCTGCATTACCAGCTGCTGCTCAACAGGCGGAACGTGCTCGCTGCTGCCATAGATCACTGCCGGGTTATACTGACTGAACAAGACGGGGTAAAACACCTTCTTTCCTGAAACAGACCCAGAGAAGAGAGAGGCCAGCAGGTTTAAAGCAAAAGTTTAACAAAAGATTAAAGTTACACAAATTTAGTTGATCAATTAAGTTTGGTGTCTGAAGTTTTCACTTTACTCGTAGAACTGGAGCTACCCACCAATTAGTACTGCGCTAACTGCAAGAATGAATCAACATGCATTCGGGTCATTCTTCATTTAGAGTGGGAATTCAGGTGGATATATTTTTAAAAAATCAGTTTCTTTCATCCCAAAACTAAATAATCTTAATATGTCCATTACCATCTCCTATTATCATATGTGCAAAAGGGAGAGCTTAATTCTAAACATATTTTACAGTCACTGGTGTTGTATGAATGTGGTGTAACACCAGTGACTGTGACTGCAGTGACATTCTGGTTAAAACTGAGGATTTTGTAAATTTGCTGACTCATTGGTGGTCAGGTGACCTTGTGCAGCTATTTAAAATCAGTAATAAAACTGATATATGACATTGGCATGATAAAACTTGAATTATCCAGCCATTAAAGCACATAACATCCATGACACATAGAAGCTATTCGCTGCCTGATAAACAGAATTATTAATAAATTAATGAAATACAGTGAGAAGTGTGAACTCGCCTTCTCATGCCTTGAGATGCTTCCTCTCTGATGAGCCTTGACCCAAAGAAGCAGATTAATAGAGCTGAAAATACTGTGTTAAAATGTGACATAAGAGTCCTGACAACACCAGTGACCAAAATCTGACGAATTTTTTAAAATAAATACATATTTTTTAGATGTAGTATAACATTAATGATATAAAAAGTAAACATGAACCTATTTTATACAAATTTCTCAGTTAAACCTCTTAAAAATATTGTTTTTGAAAATGGTTTGAAAATTGCTTTTGTGACGAGTTGCTTTTTCATATGCAGAGCGATTATGAAACAGGATAAAAAAGAAAAATCAGAAAATCACAAGGGGAAAGGATTATTTAATCTTAGGTCAACTGGTCATACTGACTTTTGGAGCTGTGCCTAGTATTTCAGGCATCTTTTTAAGCCCTGAAACCTTTGTGACATGGTTTCCCACTCCAAATGGAGAATGACCCATTAATTTCTGAGTTGAGTTGTCTGGTAATCTCTATTAGACTTGATTAGCGGTTTCTGACACTGTATGACTCACTGTTATCTAACAGAAAAGTGTCCCGTTCTGAAAGACAGTTAAAATCATTGAGAAACACCGGCGATAATCACATAACCCTACATCTCCATGTAAAATAAATCCCATGGTGATAGTACTTTATACCTATAAAAATGCACTGGTGCATCCATGATGCATCGACTTGACGGTAGTGATTTAACCGAATCAATTTTGGAACATCAAAACCAATTATAATAATATTTGAAGCTACACTGTGTAAGATTTTGTTGTTAAAACTGAAAGAAGTGTCATTACTGAGTGAGGAAAACAAAAACAGGCTAAAATATGGTGGGCGTGCAGTGCTGTGAGTCACCCTGTAAAGCCTGAAATAATAATTTAAAAGTCAGAGGTGTTGGGTCAGGAGTTTTTCACACCACGTCATATGTCTTTACATATTAACGTCACACGCACAGACTCAAGGCCCAGCTCAGTGTTTAGGTCTCAAATGACCTGAAAATCAACAGTATACTGACGAAGATGTGAAGACCAGGGTAGATAATTCACTCACATCCTCAAAAGACGGGTCCTTCAGCAAGATTTGACTGAGTTCTCTTTGAATCCTCGTTTAAGACACTTGCAATCATCAGATTCATCTGCTCGGTGAAGTGGTCCGAAACACAACCCACGCTACAAAATGTTCTTCCACATGTTGTGTGCAATTACCCAATTCCACCAGAGGGGTCTCCAAATTCCCAAAACTTACACAGTGCAGCTTTAACCCCTTAAAATCTCAGGCTTATTACATACCAAGGCTTTTTATTCAGTAACTACAGAGACTAAAGTGCAAACTGGTTGAGCTATTCTTACTTTATAGAAGAGTGTAATAAGCTTTGTCCTGAGGGTTTAATAAAGGATGCACATTTCTTGGGCTATTGTCAACCATAAATATAAAAAAAGCTTGATGTATTGTTTTTATTGTCTGTATTTCACTACTGTGTAAATACTCCAGTTACATTTGAGCATCAGCATATTTTTTAATTATTCTGAATCATACTGAAAGAATTAAATAGGATCAGATTGAATAATGTGAAATGTGAGATTTTATAATGCACTAAATTGTTTTCAAAGTCCCATACTCTCTCACTCTCACTCTCTCTCTCTCTTTCACCTGGTTGGGTGTTCAGTCTGCAGGTGTTGAGGAAGTCGGAGGTGAAGATGATGTCAACGTCGCAGAAGAACAGCAGGACATTTCCTCCCTTCCACGCTCGGGCGCCCACATCTAAACCACGGCCGCGAGAAAACTCCTCATTCAGCTGAATCAGAGTGAAGTTCCGGAAATTCAGTCCTCTGATGAAGAGAAAGAGGAATAAAGAGCAGCTGTGGTTAACAAGAGCTCCTGCTGAATATACACAGAGTCAGTTTACTAGAAACACCAACACTGTACTTCCGCTCACTGGCGACTTTATTAGAAACACCTACACTGTAACTCCACCTCTAGAGTTATCTGTAGATGTACAGTTTGTTTTAGCCGTCCTCTAATCCTTCACCAATGATTTATGACCACAGATATTTTCGGGCGCTGGTCCACTCTCAACCTACTGTGTACAAATCCATGTCAACCATGTCCTTGTTTATATCAATTGTGCAGCACATCTTTTTGCCACACTTTCTCAAGCCAAACAACAAAGAGTTAACCTGCAACAAAACTGCAAGGTTAAAAAATACTGAATTAGAAGAGGAGGCACATAAGAGGAGGCCACAGAATAAAAGAGGCAGACAGACTAACCTGAATGTGCAACACTAGAAAACTCTGCACAGATTACTGTGGTTTTAAAACCAGGTTACTGTAGCAGCGCAAGAGACATTATTATATATTATATATATTATTTATAGCTATAGATGCAGGTATCTGTCTCTAAATGTTGCATATATAGCTATATATGCAATACTTGCAGATTTTTTTTCCGGTTTGAAGAAAATTAGAAATTCTGAAATTAGTTTTTGATATAAAAACAACAATATATATTCATCATAAACAAGGAAAATCAAATGTAAATTAAAGAATTTTGGCTTTGCTGATTGTTTACTTTCAGAGAGCAGACCAAAACACCATGGCTAACCTCTTTCTACACTCTACACTAATCTGACTAATCTTTTTTTTATTCACAGGACATACAGATGTAAATTATTATTTAAATAGTTTTATTTAAATATTTTTAAATAGGGTAGCAAAACAGTGTAGACTTCTAAAGGTTAAACTCTAAAGGCTCAAGTGTGGATCAAAATTACGTTCCTCACTCTCACAACCATTTCAATATGGATACTGAATAATTCATAGCAGATGCTGAATAATTCGTAGTGGATACTGAACAATACATAGTAGTTACTGAATAATTCAAAGCGAATACTGAATAATTCATAGTAGTTACTGACATTCACAGTGGATACTGAATAATTCATAGTAGATACTGAATAATTCATAGTGGATATTGAATAACTCATAGTAGTTAATGAATATTTCAATATGGATACTGAATAATTCATAGCAGAAGCTGAATAATTCATAGTAGTTACTGACTAATTCACAGTGGAAACTAAATAATTCTTAGTGGATACTGAATAACACATACCGAATAATTTAGAGTAAACAATGAATAATTCATAGTAGATACTGAATAATTGGTAATAGTTACTGAATAATTCATAGTAGATACTGAATAATACATAGTACATATCGAATAATTTACAGTAAACAATGAATAATTCATAGTAGATACTAAATAATTGGTAATAGTTACTGAATAATTTATAGTAGATACTGAAATATACATAGCAGTTACTGAAAAAATTCAAAGCAGACACTCCATAATTCATAGCAGATAATAATTCATAGCGGACATTGAACAGGGGTGTAAAGTGTACTGAAAATCCCTACTTAAGTATAAGTACTGTTACTGTAGTGATAATTTACTCAAATACAAGTAAAAGAATTAGTAAATAAAATTACTCAAGTACGAGTTACTTAGTTACTTTTTCGTATTTCCACAACCTGAACATATGTCTGAGCTGACTCGTCTACATCACTGGAAATAATCTGCATAGAAAAACACTAAAGCTAAAGTTCTGAGAGCTGAGACTGATCACAGTCCGCTCTGCTAGTGCACATTTACACACCTTTCTATGAACTGTGTAAGGAACAAGGTTTACGTTACACTGCATGCATTTCATCGTTTGATGACTATATATGATGTCCTAGTTTATCTGTTTCCAATAAAGTATTTTAGAATCCATAAAAGACTGCGCAGAGGTTGAGTCTTATTTGGAGGTTTCATTCTTATTTGTTTCTCAGCTGCTATGCTCATAATTTATTTTTACTCTGTGATGTTATTAAAAAATAAAGTAGCAAAGTATTTCATCAAAAATTAAGAGTAAAAGTAAGAGTAAAAGTACTATGATTTAATTCTACTCCAAAAAGTACTGTTACAGGGAAAACTCTATTCGATTACAGTTACGAGATTAAATGTAATTTGTTACTTACACCTCTGGTATTGAACAATACTTAGTAGTTACTGAATAATTCAAAGTGGATACTGAATGATACTAAATGATACTAAATATTTCCTAATAGCTACTAAACAATTTATAGTATTTTTGGAATAATTTATAGCGATACCGAATAATCCATAGTAGATATTGAATATTTCATAGTGGATACTGAATAATTCATAGTAGATACTGAATAATTCCTAATAGTTGCTAAACAATTTATAGTACTTACAGAATAATGTTCAGTGAGAACAAACTCAAATATTCTACTTTCCGCTCAACAAACCACAGTGATTACAGTTAGACAGCACAAAACTCTTAATGAGAAATGAATCTTTTAAATATGTGTGGACAAAAAAATTGGTCTGTGATCCTGAAATATCTCTAAGGCTCATTTACATAGAGAGAGTGAAGGTTCTCCTCAGGCTGGCAGCAAAGTGCTTAATTAGAGCTCCTTCATTAAGGAGATCCGTCTACATCACACGAGTCCCAGCAGAGGACCTTCACAGCTGGAGATCAGGAGGAGTGTTCTCCAACCCTACAGCGAGATCTCAAGGTGTCAGGAGCTCTCGCTGCTCTCTCTCATGTGACGTCACTGTATGCACTAAATATAAAACATGTTCTAAATACACATACAGGCCTGTAAACGTTGCTGAAACATCTGATATTATGTTTAGTTGTCGAGGCCTCTGTGTAACTTTCTGTTTTCAGCTTTTTTCCCTGAAGCTTGTATATAATGGCCATTTTGACAGGAAATGAAATAAAGGAAGGGTGGTCCCTGACCTTTGCACAGTGCTGTACATATGGGTGATTTTTTTTTTCTGTTGTTTGATTTGAAAAAAAAATTATTTGCAGTCTTTATCTCAGATAAGACACAACGAGCTATTTTTCTGCTTGAGAGAGAGTATAAAAAGAAAGAGAAGGAAAGAACAGGTGAGTGGATGCTGAAAAAGGACCATTATAAAACGCACAGTTGTGGTCCTAAAATCTGATTGGCTGAGCTGTGTTCGAAGCCATTAATGGAATAATCTTTGACTTATGCTGCTTGCATGGATCACAGAGTGTACTGAGGTAGTAAGAACACGTTTTTTGTTTAAACCGAGGGGCTGGCGACTTATGTTCTTAACTAGAACTAGGCTGGTCAGCTAGCTAACAGGCTAAAAGATAGTCAACAGCCTGACTCCATCATTAATATCACAGGCTTGAATCAAAGTACTTATGGTATGATTAACTGTAAAACGGCAGTATAAAAGTCTAAAAAATGTCATTTAAACGGATTACATACTTCAACTGTTGTGTCAGTCAGAAGTAGCGCCAAACCCAGGTTGACTCCCAAACAGCTCTGTAGTCCCTTAATAATGTGCTAGCTATGAAAGTTCAGAGCCTCTACAGCCAAATAGTGCATCATTTACCAAGTATGGATGAGTCCCAAATGACTATTAAGTGTTTCTGTCTGTTCCTGATGGTTTTGTAATGGGTTGATATCACAGTGTAAAGGATCCTAATGGTTAACAGGTGACCGATGGCTGATTCTAATTGCATTTGATTGTTTCTTAATGGGTTTAACAGGAAAATTATGGTTTCTATTGGAAACCATTCAGCTAATTCCTATTAGAAAGCAAAATCATTAGGTTTTCTTCCTAATGGTTTCCTCGTTCAGCAGAGAAAGCAGTGATCCTCCAGATCAGCTAGTCCACGTTAGCGTTACTTTAGCTCCACAACAGCTATTCCCAAGAAAAAGAATGACCCTAATGTTAGCCTTACCATAGCAGTAGAGCCATCTCCTTGAACAGCTTGTTAATATTGTAGCGCTACATTAGCACTACAATATCTGTTCCTAACAAGAATGAGAGCAGAGTAATCTAATCAGCTAGCTACGTTAGCAATTTCTAATCAGAGAGAGCAGAGTAATCCTCAAAATAAGTCCTTATAGGAAAGTCTTCACTCGGCGGCCATCTTGGCAATGCTGCCGGGCAGTTATTTCCACTTACAAGACCAGGGAAGTACCTACAAACTCGAAAGTAAACGCCAAAATGCCGTTTCAAAAACATTTAAAAATCACTGATAAAATCTAACAAAATTCATATAAATAGTTTCTAGCTTTTGGCTCAACAACACACAAAAACCATGCATGACTGTTCTGGCTAGTGTACTTGTGCAAATCTCTGCAACTGAGGGGAGCTTTTCCCGCTCATGGCGTGACTGCAGGGCCGTAAACAGACGGCGTGTTGAGCATTACGAGCTTTCCTAATTATTTAACAACCAGCGACAGTCTCCTTCTTTATAATGTCTCTGGAGTAGCTAATGTTAGCCCTTTAATAGCAAATCCTAATGTGACAGAGTAGAGTAATCCTCCATAGCTAGCTAATGTTAGCCCTTTAATAGAAAATCCTACTGAGATAGAGCAGAGTAATCCTCTAAAACTAGCTAAATGTTAGCCCTTTAATAGAAAATCCTAATGAGACAGAGTAGAGTAATCCTCCATAGCTAGCTAATGTTAGCCCTTTAATAGAAAATCCTACTGAGATAGAGCAGAGTAATCCTCTAAAACTAGCTAAATGTTAGCCCTTTAATAGAAAATCCTAATGAGACAGAGTAGAGTAATCCTCCATAACTACCTAATGTTAGCCCTTTAATAGTGAATCCTACCAAGAGAGATAGAGTAATCCTCCAAAGCTAGCTAACATTAACCCTTCAACAACTATTCTTAACAAGCAAGCAATACTCCACATTTAGTTAACATTAGCTCTAACACAGACATTTCTAGAGAGAGAGAGAGAGAGAGAGAGAGAGAGAGAGAG